TATTTCCTAAAAGTAGGCAACATTAATTTTTTTCCTTTTCACATTGAACTAACAACATTTGTATCAACGTTATTCTCGATCTGTTTCCCCTTGGTTAACCATCCATGGAACAAAGTAGCAAGAAAAATCTTGACATAACCTCTCAGAAGTAGGTAACCGTGAAATTTCCCTCGAAAAAAAAAACACTTGAAAAAATTGCTGCCAGGCTGAAAGCTTTTAGGTCATTTAAAGGCACGCGATATTAGGACAATTTGAACCAAGTCAAACCATATCATCACTGCATAGAAAATCTCACGAGAAATTTCTCTCCGGATTTTTATTTTTCTAATGATGGGACTTCTGAATGATCATATAAATGTAACTAGAATAATAAAATTGAACATCATCTCAAAGTTAATTAAATGAGCTTGAACTTCACATTTTTTTCAATATTACAGCCGTTATAATCTTTTTTTTATTCATCCCAAATATAACTGCATCCTTAGTCTGGCACTATATATACAATAAGGCGAATTTTACAACACAACAACAACAATTTACATCGTCTGCCTATATATACATGTACCTTGACCTCGGCAGTTATTTTTGAAAATATTTGTATCGTTCTTGAACTGCCGTTTTTCCAGACACTCGAGAAACCCATTCTCGCCCCCCCCCCTGAATTTTGGTTTAATACCGAGTATTGCATATACAATATATGTGCTGCCCCCGTTATTCCATTAGGACAAATACGCCGATCTGAATGCCAAACACAAACTCATGTTCGCCAAAGTGGTGGACACGAAGCGGAAGCTGAAATTGCTCCAGGGACAAGTGAACCACGTGAAGGCCCTGTTGAAGGCCGTCGCTGACAAGCTCGACGTCGACTGGGACGAACAAGACGTCGACTCTGACTCTTGAACGTTTCTTGAATGTTTCTAATTCATTATGCATTGAACCCTGTGCGTTGAATTGCTGACAGCAAAGAGAAGAACAGCACTATACTGCGTTGCAAAAACAAAAAGTCCCCAACCTTTTATTTGTGTCCTGTATATATCCATTATTTCATTCACTATACACGACCAGCATGCAATGGAAACGAAAGAGAAAAAAAGGACTCGATCGGGCTATAGCACATCTTGCCCAATCCGACCTCATCGATCAAAATCCAGTTCACAGTACACCCACATCACTGGAACCTTACGGACAAAAGCACGGAATTTCAAAAAAGAAAGAGATACAGTATATATATTGAGAAAAACACTCGAGACCTCGATTTCGCTGCAATCTCTCGGCTCTGACGACCATGAACCGAATAGCAAGTTCACGCTTTTTTTTCCCTCTCTATAAGTCTAGAGTCCATTGAATTCGACTGGCTTTTCATCTCTTAAAAAAGGCCGAGCTCTATACTATGCTTTCCCACCACTGCATGAAGGAGGAAAAATAGAAAGTAAATAAATTTCGTTGTTCATCCGCTATAGAGTGAATAAAGAAAATAAGGGAACGAAGAATAAAAACAAAAGAAAGCTTTAGCTGAAAATGGAGCAACGGATCGGCAATTATTTGTCAACACTATAACCTGCTGTGGATTGAAAAAAAAGAGCCTGCAACCCGATTCCTCGAAAAAAAGAAGAGAATGCCTTTAATTTCTGCCTCAGCACTTGTTGCGATAGTCGGCAAATTGCGTCGTCGTCGTTGTCGCCGTCGTTTTTCCCATTATTGCAGCTCTCGTTATTTTATTTTTTATTTTTTTATTTTTTTCGAGGGGTGGGTCAGTTGTACGGTTTCCTAAATACAGGGTTTAGTTCTAGTTCGTGAGTTGAAACGCAATCGATTTCCTTCATCCCCATCGAAATGCGTGGCTTGCGCAAGCGGGTTTTGTGTTCCACGATTCGTCTCGGTCCACGGCAAGGAATGTCCTTCCCCCAAGTTCCCGCACTTTGCCTCTTCATCCATAGTCGTTTTGGGTGGCTCACAAACGATTATACCATTGTCACGAAAAATGAGCACCATTCCCGTATCTCTATTCCATAGTACAACGTATTCTTCCACAAAACAAAAAAAAAAGACACGAAAAGAGCTTGAAATATGTCGTGAGATTCGAATTTTTGTTGCAACGAGATCCTGACGATCAAACTCGTTTTGCAAAGTCAGCTTGACTTGCAAAAGGACCAATAAGTCGGTGTGCTAAACTAGTTCAGAACCATGCAGAAACCAGAAATCGGCAAGGATTGAAGCAGCTCAAAGAACAAGTTTCTTAAATACTCAAACGGCCATTCTCAGTCATAGCATTTTTATTGATTCATTTATAGAATCTTCAATTGGCACTTGTCAGCGTTCACAATAAAGTTCAAAACAAACCCGAACATCCGTTCAACTCATTCTGGCATGCCAAACGATAATTTACTGTGTGTATATATATATGGACATTAACAGAAAATAAATACTCATACGGGGTTTTCAAGAAAACGCATCACAGTAAAGAATATGCAAATGCATGAATAATGAATTGACACTTTAAAAAACCAAAATCTCGGAAAAAGGCCATTACTGAGTAAAAATTAAAGCACAGGTGTTCAGCCTGTTCCCAGCAGGTTATCTTTTTTCATTTTATTTTTCTATATGGAGATGATTTCTTGTCCCGATTGTAAGAAAAGGAGCCATCGTTTTCTCAACTGCACCAGTCCTGGGGCTATCACATGAAACGGTGTATCATAAACCTCTTTCCCAAATACACCATTTGCCAAAAACAAGTGCCTGGATGAAAAAAAAAGAACATTTAGCACATATTTATATTCTATGCTGGCTCGATCCCTCTGTGACGTGGCGCTGTTTTTCTCTGGCCCTCGGCCTGATTTCGATGTGGCACCGGTTCTTCCAAACTGCAGTCATTATAATTGACTTGATGGTCCACGATGACGCCGAACAAAATATTTTGGAAATGAAATTTGGGAGGAGATTCTACGCGCATAAGACTTGAAAGCAAAAAAAGAGAGAAAAGACGAAAGAGCGAAGATGAACGATTTGGCGTGTTGTTGCCAAATCTGCACTCATCCATCGCCTAGCATATAAACTCATCGTCGTGCAACTCGGGTCGGACAACAGGTCGTCGTGCCAATTCCCCGACTGATTGAGCGGACCGGAGCCCATATACAAGGAGAAACCAAAAAAAAAAAAAAAATAGAGAGAAAATGTACGGTTTCCTAAATACAGGGTTTAGTTCTAGTTCGTGAGTTGAAACGCAATCGATTTCCTTCATCCCCATCGAAATGCGTGGCTTGCGCAAGCGGGTTTTGTGTTCCACGATTCGTCTCGGTCCTCGGCAAGGAATGTCCTTCCCCCAAGTTCCCGCACTTTGGCTCTTCCATATACTCGTTTTGGGTGGCTCACGAACGATTATACCATTGTCACGAAAAATGAGCACCATTCCCGTATCTCTATTCCATAGTACAACGTATTCTTCCACAAAAGAAAAAAAAGACACGAAAAGAGCTTGAAATATGTCGTGAGATTCGAATTTTTGTTGCAACGAGATCCTGACGATCAAACTCGTTTTGCAAAGTCAGCATGACTTGCAAAAGGACCAATAAGTCGGTGTGCTAAACTAGTTCAGAACCATGCAGAAACCAGAAATCGGCGAGGATTGAAGCAGCTCAAAGAACAAGTTTCTTAAATATTCAAACGCCATTCTCAGTTATGGCATTTTTGTTGATTCATATATAGAATCTTTATTCGGCACTTGACAGCGTTCACAATAAAGTTCAAAACAAACCCGAACATCCGTTCAACTCATTCTGGCATGCCAAACGATAATTTACGACATATATATGGATATTACCAGAAAATAATTACTCGTACGGGATTTGAAAGAAAACACATCACAGCAGTTCAGCAGATACAAATGCATGAATAATGAATTGACACTTTAAAAAACCAAAATCTCGGAAAAAGGCCAATACTGAGTAAAAATTAAAGCACAGGTGTATTCAGCATGTTCCCAGGTTATCATTTTTACTTTTATTTTTCTGTGGATATGATTTATCTTGTCCCGAATGTAAGAAAAGGAGCCATCATTTTCTGACATCACACTCAACTGCACCAGTCCTGGGGATATCACATGAAACGGTGTATATCATAAACCTCTTTTCCAAATACTGTACTGTACACCATTTGCCAAAAACAAGTGCCTGATGGATGAAAAAAATAATAATAAAAGAACATTTAGCACATATTTATATTCGATGCTGGCTCGATCCCTCTGTGAAGTGGCGCTGCTTTTCTCTGGCCCTCGACCTGATTTCGATGTGGCACCGGTTCGTCCAAACTGCAGTCATTATAATTGACTTGATGGTCCACGATGACGCCGAACAAAATATTTTGGAAATGAAATTTGGGAGGAGATTCTACGCGCATAAGACTTGAAAGCGAAAAAAAGAGAGAAAAGACGAAAGAGCGAAGATGAACGATTTGGCGTGTTGTTGCCAAATCTGCACTCATCCATCCCCTAACTTAAACTCGTCGTGCAACTCGGGTCGGACAGCAGGTCGCCGTGCCAATTCCCCGACTGATTGAGCGGACCGGAGCCCATATACAAGGAGAAACCAAAAAAAAAAAATAGAGAGAAAAAGATGATGCTATGAAGGGGGAAAAACAGTTAAGTTTCATACGCCGAACCAGGAAATGGCGATCCTGCAGAGAGAAGACCAGCACAGCAGTATGCTGCTAATTTCCGCGAAGCAGCGGGATTTCTATAACTTATTGCAGCGCGTTGCTTAATTACTTTTTTTTTCTTTTTTTTACGATGAGCCCGAGTCCTTCGCGAACGAGCAACCTTCGATCGATTTCATTTCCTAGCGATTTCGCATCTCCACCGAGGCGTGTTGGAATGAAAGCACACCCGGGCGTGAAAATTTCCTCGCCGCCGGGAACGCAAGGGAATGAAAATAAAAGAAAGAAAGAAAGAAAGAAAGAAAGAAAGATAAAAAAACACACAATGAAAATAGCAGCAGCAAGCAGGGGGGGCACCGGTAAATGAGAAATTCCACTGGGTATAAAAACCCTCGGTGCTGATCGCCGACCTGCGCAGACTGTATCCACTTTTCCAATCGGCAGCAGCACCAAGACACAATTTCTGCACGCCAAAACCAAAACAAACGAACAATGAAAGCAATCGTGAGTGCTGTTGCTGCATCAGTGAATTATCCCTCAGTTTTCTTCCCCGCCAATATATAATTGATCCTCTCGACGCACATCAGCAGGTCGGGACTTTGACAGTGGCGGCGTTGGTGATGGCCCTGGGCGGTCGTCACGAAGCCGCCGCCGACGGCGGTTACGGACACCCGCCGGCGCCACATCCGGGCTACGACCACCACCAGCCCCACGTGGACAACGTGCACTACAACTACTACCACGCCCCACACGACTACCACGGCTCAGCTCACGTACGTGTCTGCATCATGTCTCTCGTCTTGCTCTCGATCCATCACTAGAGCTGGGGTCAATTCCCCCAGCACCCCTGATGTGAACGCGTATATAGTGTAGTGTAGATCTCGGTGACCTATAGGCTCTATATATACGTGATCTCTGGGTCAAGGGCTCGCGATTTTCTCGGGCCGTCCGACCGGGCATCGCGGGGTCAAGTCATGAACTTGATGGTGCTGCTGGCACGACACGTTGTTGGAAGCTGTGAATTATGAGGGGAGGGTCTTGGGGGGGATTTTACGAATAAAAAAAAAAAAAAAAGAGAAGCAAAATAGAAAGCCCGAAATTTTGACGGGTTTTTCCAAATATTGTACTGCAATACATTAAATCAGCTGTTTAATTTCCCTATGGCTTCTCCCATTTCTCTGTTTTCTCTTTATAGATACTGTACTAAGAACAACAACAACGAGCAAAAATTATCCATTTTAAATGGGAATTCCTGCATTTTGGTGAAATTAAAGAACAAATTATACTGCGTGCGGTAATTGCTGATTGGCTTCTCGTGGACTTATAAAAAAACTAAACATTTTAGAGATTAATCTCTTGAGTACAGTAAAAATGATTCAAACTAAAGTCATAACCACGTGATGGAAATAGTGATCAAAAAAGGAAAATCTCCATTGAAAAATATAATTTTCATACAGACAGTACGACAGTATAATATATACTGTAATGTTATGCAATATCAAGTTTTGAACCAGGGAAAAACTTCGGCGCAGGAAATACATTCAATAAAATGTGGAATGTGAAAAGTGACATGCCTTATTGTGAGTGGTAAAGTCAAGACGAAGCCAGAATCTTTGTTCTTATTGACGAGTAGAATCTCGATGGCTATGCATCAATACAGTGAAACAATTTCAAGCGTGATTCAGTACAAAGATTGTCTGGCAAATTCACAGAAAAGGTCACTCATCAATTACCGAAAGAAATTAAGTGGATGACCTCATACGCGTTTAGAAATCAAAGCTAGCGATTTTCTCCGGGGATGAACAGGGCGCTTGAATTTGTCTTCAATCGTTACATTCTATAAAATAAGGTCGTTTAAAAAAAAAAACCGATGGTGAATCTTAATAGGATTTTCTGCAAAAAAATAATTAATCAATCTGCCTTGGAATGCATTTTGGAAAGGGGGGCCAACGATTACATGAATTTTGCAATATACTGTATACACAACCGCCGGGTTACAGAATGAAACCAGAAGCAGAAACGTTTGTTCAAAGAAGAATGTATTAATGAAACATATAAAAATCTTCTAATAATGCAGATCAACTTATTCCCCTGAACATTCAAGGAAGTCTTTCCGAAATTGAAATACAAACTTAATCCAATGAAAAAAAAAATGGTTCAGAAGGAAATCGAAACGCGGACCTCTATATATACATGCATAAATGACGGGAGGTATAAACATTTTTATAGGTTCAAATAGATAAAACCCGAGGAAATAACATTTTACCCTCCATATTCGGGCTAATTTTGCCAGATATAGGTATATTTTCAAATCGTTTTGTATTCCAATTTGGACACTGAGCAGCATATAAGGAAGCTCTACTTCAATAATGATTCGCACTAAATCAGGTTTTATACTCGAGAAAAAAAAAACCTTTCTCTGCTGTTGCATAAAGTAATTGTTATTACCGCATCTGAATAAAATGCTGCGATGAGGATATTCCGTTTACTTCCTCATGGTCCATGATTTCCCTCTTATCCTTCCGCGATGGTCAACTCAAATCTTTATTGCCTTCAGATGTTAATTTTTTGTCTTCTTGTTATTATTTAGATAACAGGATCATTTATTTAATAATTATTTTTGCTAATGCATCAATTTGTTGCTCAGGTGAATGTGGACAAGCACCCGGGAGGATTCAAGTACGAGGTGAAAGAAGAAGGCAAGAGCCGCCCGTCGCACGGATACCCACACCCGCACGGCGGCCCTGGCCCATATCATCACGGGCCACCAACAGAAGGAAATCGAAACGCGGACCTCTATATATACATGCATAAATGACGGGAGGTATAAACATTTTTATAGGTTCAAATAGATAAAACCCGAGGAAATAACATTTTACCCTCCATATTCGGGCTAATCTGGCCAGATATTGGTATATTTTCAAATCATTTTGTGTTCCAATTCGGACGCTGAGCAGCAGAAGGAAGCTGTATTTCAATAATATTTCACACTAAATCAGGTTTTATACTCGAGAGAAAAAAAGCTTTCTCTGCTGTTGCATAAATTAATTGTTATTACCGCATCTGAATAAAATGCTGCGATAAGGATATTCCGTTTACTTCCTCATGGTCCATGATTTCCCTCTTATCCCTCCGCGATGGTCAACTCAAATCTTTATTGCCTTCAGATGTTTTTTTCTTTCTTCTTTTTATTATTTAGATAGCAGGATCATTTATTTCATAATTAGTTTTGCTAATGCATTAATTTGTTATTCAGGTGAATGTGGACAAGCACCCGGGAGGATTCAAGTACGAGGTGAAAGAAGAAGGCAAGAGCCGCCCGTCGCACGGATACCCACACCCGCACGGCGGCCCTGGCCCATATCATCACGGGCCACCACCACCATACTAAATAAATAACCCACACCGCCATTTCTATCCACTGCAGCCGAAAAAAAAAGAGAAGAACAACTCATCCCACAGCATGCAAATACTATATATTTTTTGACGGACCGACAAGTTTTTCTCTGCTGCTGCTGACAAACGCATCATCAGGGATGAGACGATCGAAAGCATGATGCGGTTTTTCCCGTAGTGACGAAAATACGCGAGGTTATTTTTTTCCTTTTTTTTTAAATAAAAAGAAAGAAGTAGAAATCATTCTTGTCAATGGTCATTTTCTTCCCGCGACCGCCGCTTCTTCTCGACCGCCCTCTTGGACGCCTCGATGACGGCACTTGAACTCACGTCCGTCACCGACATGAACCTCCGTCGAGTTGGCCCTGCCAAATCAATGGCGCCACTTGTGCTCTCGTCGACATTCTACACACGAACAAACAAACAAAAAATAAATAAATGAACAAGAGTAAAAAATAAATAACCTATAGTTATGAGCAAGCAGAAAAATTGGGATTCTTTAATAGGTTTTCTTGGCCATCATGCAGACATCCGAGTAGGGCGTGCGCGAAAAATGGCACAACTTGCTTGATTATTATTTCATGTGTCACTTTCAACTCCAGGTCGTCACTTCAAATAAACTCATCGGGCGATACAGAATATTAAAGCAGTCGCTAGGAAAAAATTCCTGATTTTAACGAATCTTTTGAATTGTATAATTACAAGCTTTCTTTGCCGTTTGTCAGCATTCACAATACGTGACGACTCACAACTTTGTGAATTGGCAATTATTGAGCCCCAATTAAAGTGAAAGGTGTTCAGCTTGTTGCCGGATAATTTATAATGCATATTTAAACGATTGAGCGGGAATCTCTGAGGAGGAACATATAAAGCTGACACATTTTTTTCTGGTTCCCAATATTACTTGGGAGACTACTCTGTCATTAAGTTGTGACGAAAAGTCCCAAGTTCTGTATTTTAAAAGTTCAAATTCTTATTGTTTGGAATGTTATTGCGCATAGGAAAACATTGTATAATTGTTTTTGTTACATTTTTATATCGCCGTGCAAAATAAACCCGCGCCTTTTCTCAAAGGACACATTTTTGGTTCAGGGCTCACCGATGCAGTTTCCGGAGGTATGATTCGGAGTCGCACCACAGGCGCCTTTTCCATAGGGCGCAGAAACTTGAGCATGGTGGCCTTGCTTTCCAGCAGAGCCATGGACGCCACGTTCAAATTGCGCTTCTTCATTTCGGCATCGTTGGCGGCGATGTCCGCAATGAGGCGCTTCAATTTCGTCTCGTAATCCTGGACGGCAACCTGGTAGGCTCGGGTGAAATATGTGGGTCCCAGGGCGAGTTTCCTGATCCTAAATTGACATATACAGTACTGTACAGTATTATACTGTATGTTAAAAAAATTAGAAATCACTGCAGGGGTTTCTTAAAAGTTAAAACAGTCCCGATGAAAAGGTCGTCCAACACGTTTTAAATTGACAACGAATGCTGAAAACCTGCTGATTAGTTTTTCTCTAAACAGAGTTCTTACATTATAAGAAGATGGGTCATTCTATTGCATTACAGTATAAAATATGAAATTTGGACCAATAATATATAGAGTATAGGCATACACTATATATAGGGAATATATCATAAATTAATTTTTGAAAATTCGTTCTTGCATCCTTGAGATTCCGTTTTGAATTTTTATCTCTCACAAAAACGGCTCTGGGATCCATCATCAGTCTTATTCAACATCAGCATTCAAAAAGAGTACATTTATTTTCGAATTTATTCCTTCTTTTCTTTAAAAAGTCCACAAGAAAGGAAAAAATCTTTTATTTCAGGATTTCCAACGCAAATATTTCAGTCACCCGTCAACAAAGGGAAACATTTATTTGGCTTCGCCTCCGCCCAATGCATTTTTTCAAGCGTTTTTCGTTACACGGAAAAACCCCACCGCGGAAATTTATATTTGCACTTCACCTTCCCATGCAAAAAGTCTTTTAGGAAATTAATTTGTTCCTCGTAATATTTTCTGACCTGATTACAATAGAGTGCAAATTTGTATTTACATACTGTATAAGCTAAAAGTTGGAGCAGTTTACAAGCGATTTATTCAAGGTGATTCCAAAAAAAAAATTGGAGAAATGCTCTGTTGATACCAATGCATAGGTTTTTTAAAACTTGTTTAATGAAAACCCGTGGAATTAAATGACCAACAGTATTACCGGTTGCTAAACGCGGAAGACCTTCTCAAAACCTGTGGGGTCACAGTGCCACTCACAACCTTGGGGACCTTTTCAGAAAAAATGCGCAAAAACCTGTCGGCCAACCGCAAATCCAATTCCATGAAAGAGAACAGAATCACTTCGAACTGCGGCTGCATCTTCTTGACAATCTGCGACGAGAGAAGATTTAAAAAAGGGACAGAAATGTGAGGATCATTCATATCTATTTACAGCCTTTTCTAATAATACTGTAATAATAATAATCTGAAAATATTTCAATAAAATTGGCAGGACAACATTTAAAAAAATGTGAGAGCTGCTCTGAAATTACGCGTGCTGGTGATCGGCCAGCCGACTGCAATAATTTTCAAATATAAAAGCAGTTAATGCTTTCTTCAACTTTTATGGGAAATAACTGAAGCCGATATTCGAGTACGGCATGCATGTACAGTACAGTATTATATCCAGTACTCAAAAGAACTCCAGTTATACAAGGTTCTTACTTCCGACAACAATTCCATTGCTGCCTATATATACGGGACTCACATGAGCAATGTTCTTAATCATGAATTCCGAAGACAGGACCCCGGGATGGGCGATACTTTTACTAGGTGCCAGAATTGGCGAAGTCTCGGTGCTCAGTCGGAATCCCCTGATTGATGACGACGAATGCGGTGTTGCCGAAGACCTCTCCTCTTGAGGAAACTTCGAATCGCTTCTCACATTTGCCAATTCCGGAAAATCCACTTTCTAAACAGGATCACGCAGAAAAAATAAATAAAAGTGAGCAACCGCCTTTATGCGAATATTTATTCTCGGCCTAGATAGAGTATACGAGTCGTTTTGTTCATTTAATACCGCATGGTCATCAATATAACTGATAATAAAAATCGCCAATGCTTTTTGAAATTTTTACTTTTATATTCACAGTACTTTCACGAGATATTTAGGTTGATCATATTCAAAGTTTCGCAGTTTTTATCTTTTTCCAGCAAACCAGCAACAATCCATGTTATTATTGCCTCGAATTGGTTGGATCTCTTTACACATACACACAAAACAAACTGCAAAATTGTTTTGAACATGAATAAAGGTCTCACTGAATGAGTTTCTCCTGAATGTGAAGCAATTTCTGAATGTATTCAGCTTCATCAAGTAGAGGAAGGTAATTAAAATGACTTCATCACTGATTGACGTATATTCATTTGTTTTGTGGCATTTCGGATGAATTTGACACGTGAAAGGTCAAAGTTATGTCCATGCAGTGACCGAATTTCAACATTTTACGCGTCACACCCCATTCAAATGTAACCTTTTTTTCCTTAATTACAGTACTGTACTATATTGTATTCATGAAAACCGCTTTTTAATGATTTTTTTTGTAGCCCATCGCCCAAATATGTATTCAAAAACGATGTATACCTCGCCGAGGTAGTTGAAGAAACAGTCCATGAACTCCTCCTGCTGCTGAATATTATTGACGATGCAGTCACACAAGAGCTTGCTGTAATTTGGCAGCCCGTCGTTTGTTTTCTCCGGCCCGTGTTCGGCAGGGTTGAAGGTGTTGGCCTTGCGAATCGCCGCCAAAATGGATTTCATCACCAGTCGCTGGAACTCTGCGTAGGTTACCAATCGTTTCTCCAACATGGCCTCGTAACTATATATATCGAATTAAATATAATCATTTTATGGAAAAAAAACCGAAGGACACAGCTAAATTATCGAAAAATTTCCGACAGAAAATAGTTGGTGTAGTCTGTGCTGATGGGCTGGGATCTGAAGCAGAATTTACTGTACGCTCCTATGAAGTTTGAAGACCGTCAGCACATGTCCAATGTGCACTGCGACAATGATGCAAAAAAAAAGAAAAGATGATACATCTACATACTATTAAGGAACTGCTTGCTGACCGAAAAGTGAAAAAACATTAAACTGTTCTCGCAGGCAGAATGAGATGGACATTTGTGAGTAAATCTAAATGAACAGTGTACGTTTTAGCGCTGAATGACCAGAGGATTTTTATTTCTTTGCTATTTCTGGTGACTAACAGAGGAGTCCAAATACTGAAATAAATTTTTAAAAAGTTGAATATTATTCACTTCAAGAGCTCGGAAGTGAAGATCTCCGTGACCGGATGCGTGTTGTCAATCTCGACCTCAAGCAGGTCAGGATTGAAAGACACGTCGTTTGACTGGGACCTGCTGGTGGCAAGAATAGAGTCATTTTTTTTCTAATCAAAAGAAACAAAAAATCGAATGCAAAATTATTTGATTCTCGATCGCTGCTATTATATACGACCATCAAGCATGGATTTATTGCTGACTCACGCAGCTTCTGAAGTGTCCTTGCTGGACGCCGGACGAGAAATCGCCGACTTTTTCGGCACAGTCTTGAGATTCTTGATCGCTTCCGCCTCTTTGATATTGCCGACGGTGACTTCAGACGGCCTTCGCGGTTTCTGCAATTCGGGAACCAGTCTCGAGACGCTCGACTTGACCAGATCCGAAAACTCGGTCACGTGCTCGGCAGCCACGTGCGAATGCCGTTTCCTCAAGATTAATTGAAGAAGAAGAAAGAAAAAAACATCAAAGTGATGCTAAAAACAAAACAAAACAACAGATATCAATGAGCATTTGACAAACCGGAATTCATCCAGGATTTTCTCCACGTATGCTTCATCGTCAGCAGCAGCTGGTGGAGCCCTGCTGCTGCCGGGGTTGATGGGTGTGGTATTACCCTGATTGCTGGGGCCGTGGTTCATCGACGAGGCCGGTGGCAACTCTGGTGCAGAGTGACGAAAGCGGGACTTGATGCTTCTGAACACCAAGGATTTCTTGGGGTCCAGCAATTCTTCCTGCACAGCTTCCGAGCTCACCTATATATATATAGACGAACCGAACCCACATCAGGAACCTCATTCTTTCAATTATACTGTACATACTGTATTCCCAAATATTGTGCATTCATTTTTCTATAACGGGAACTTCATATTTGCAACTCCTCCTGATTAGTGTTGGAATTGGCGATTTAATTCTCAATCTAGCCACGATAGAAATTTGACGTCCATTTTACAACTAAAACATGAATCGAAACCCGTATGCAGTTAAAAATTGAAATCTAGACTCAAATACAGTTTACAGTACTTTCAACTTTGAGAAAAAAAGAAATTGCGTCTTAATTTGGTAACTTCTTAAAAAGGATTCCAATTCGGACATAATGCAATGGCACTGTGATGCATTCCGCTAACCGGCAAAAAATTCCTGAAACCATTTATGGTGAAAACAAATTTAATCGCAAAGAAGTGGCAATTTGCTCATAGGAATGAAATTCAATTTCCGCTCACCGTATTTTTAATTTCATCAGAGAATAGTAAGGTTTTTATTTTTGGTGAGAAAATACAAAATTCTTCATTGGCATGCCTATTTCGACACTTTAAAAAATGTTCGATACGACAGTGTATAGAAAGATATAATGTACTGTATATTAAAATACATTTTTTATTTTATCTTATAGATATTTATCTTGAACATAAATGAAATGGTGTTTCAGTTGACCTGGAACGGTTCGCCGAAAAGAGTGTGCGCAGCTTCGGCCAGCAACACGTGACAAATGTGCACATGCATGGCAACACTGGCCTCGACCTGAGCCTGCACAGTCTGGGTCGCCAACGCTGTTCCAAGTGCCCCAGGCATGCTGTCGCTCAAGTGCCGACGAGCCCTTCACCAACATTCCCCTCCTCCCTCTCTCAGAACTCACTCACTCACTCACTCACTCATGTTTGAATGAATGAATGAATGAATGAATCCCCGCATCAAGAGTAAAACTTAATGAAGGTTAATTCCAAAAAATCCATGATTAATCCTTCGCAGCCGTCGTCAGTATATAGAGAAAAATAATGAACTGCAGAATACTCTGTACGATATGTATACTCGCCCAACGATTTTCAACTTCAACAGCAACAACAACAACAAAAAAGAAGAAAAAGAAAAAAAAAAGAAAAGAAAGAGAAAATCACACGCCCATGCTGTTGAGCCTTCTTTGCTGGCGATGCGACGAATCCCGGGACGCCGCCATTTGGACGACGTGCAGCTTGGAAGGCGGCGCCGATCGCAGCGCCGCCAGGAGTTTCTCCAGGTCTGCCAGGGCAGCAGAAAACACTTCCGGCAGCCGCGTGCTGATCCTCGTCGACAGTTCCGGCTTGGCTCGACACTCCGTGATGAAATTAAAGTGGCATGACGTGATGAATCCCAGTTTCCGCGAGTAGTTCCGCATGGCTTCCGTGTAGGCCCGTGTCAAGTAGTCCGTGTCCAACTTGATCTTCTGCAATCTGAGTGGATACAGAAAAAGAATACTCATTTGATGCTTCATCGTGGTCATAATTTTATGACCTTTCTAAATGTCTGTTTTTCTCCTTTGTTGTGTTTTGAGAAAAAAAAAAGTAGGTTCACACTGATGATCCAAATTGGTTACCGAGTGGTTTCCGCTGCCTCATTTTTGTCTAAGCTCATAAATACAGTCAACCCCTGCACAACAGACCTCCCGCGCAATGGATTTTCGCCCATGCAATGGACCACCTCTGGAGGCAGTTTTCCCTCCCATGCAACAGACTAAATATGCTTAATTGACTTCTGTTGGTTTAAAGTTAATGGCAGAAAGTAAGAATATAAATTTGTAATAATTGAATTTGCACAACAGGCTAGTCTGTTGCACGAATAAAGTCCATTGTGCAGGGGTTGACTGTACAGTACAGGTGACTTGCGTAGTCATGTGAGTTTTCTACCACCAGCAGAGTTTGCCATGAAACCTTGTCTGCATCACTTTACTCCACAATAGTATAAGTCTTGCGTGAAAAGGATGATAAATTATTCATCAAACAAACATCTGCTGTCTTATCTCTCTGAAAGGACACAGAAAATGCTTTAAATCTTGAGACCCTAAGGTTACTCGATTTGGTTGAACAAAAAAAAGCTTGATCAGAAGTAAATTGGCTTGTTAGTAAAAATTTATGTGTCTATAGTATTTGTCCATTCCACTTATTGAAACAATAACAGCTTATAATATAGGCATACATTGGCAATCCACGTTTGAAAAAAGTTTCTAAAAATGCATGAAAGACTTGATGGATCAAGGATCAATCCTTGGACATATGTTTTTTTTTCATGGGAAAGAGAATAGAAGAAACTAAAGAAAAGAAAATTTGCTGATGTATTTATAGTGGTGACTCGCCTTTGGTGAAAGTCTTCAGACTTTTCCAGATGACGCAATACTTTGGTGTCTTCGGGATTCTTGCCTGCCGACACGCGTTTCACCACGTCTTCGAGAAAATAGTGCTGATTCCGCATCATGAGCTGCATGAAGCTGTGCGAAATCAGCTCCACGTGAGGCCGTTCTCTCTTGACCACCTCATACCGCCAAAAACAAATGAAAGAAACTCATCGTAAAGCACCAAATATATACAGTACTGCATTATTTGTTCAGCAATTATATATCCTCACTCACTTTAACCAAGGTATCCAATAGAATTCCCTGCAGACCGACTGCATCCGGTTTCGATGGACGAGATGACATTTGACTGCTGCTGATGGACGACTGCGAGAGTCGAGCGGAAGCGGGATAAACTGTGTCTCGCCGAACTGCGCTCAATTTCGGAAATGTCACCTTTTCATGCAATCAAGAAAAATATCATCACTTTTTTACTATCGTAAATAGACCTTTGCAATTTAACAAACAAACGAAATCCTTTATTTAAAAAAAAATCACATACTGTTCCTACAGACGCAAAAAAGCAGGACAGGTAAGCCTCTTGTTCCGCTTCCATGCCCTGGATCCGGTCTTTCCACTCGGTGGCAGAAACAGACTGACCTTGTTCCTCGGTCACCAGCCTGGTCGTGTCCAGAGGGGCTCTTTTCCTTATTTCCGCCAGAGATGCCATGAGGACCTTGCGTTGGAACTCGGCAAAGTCTGTCAATCGCTTTTCAAACAAGGCTTCGTATCTGCTCGAACAATTTTGCGATTATTCATAGGGCATCCATACGAAATTTTGGCAAATGCTCTTCGCATTATTCCCGAATCCCGTGCGAAAAAAACGTGCTTTTTCTGCATCAACCTATTCTTAATCACCATGTACAGTACAACTGCTTTAATACTGCAATAATACGAAAAACTCATGTTTTTACTGCTCTTTTTTCTCACTATAGCATGATACAGTGGTCATTTCTCAAGATATTTGTCGTCTGACATCACGTAGAATCAATGAGAACTTTAAAATAGATTAATCATGCATTGAAGAAGGTTTCTCTTTCCAAGAATTCCACGCCATTCCTCAAAAAATATTTCTCTTTCACAAAAATAGCAACAAGTAAAAAATTACAAGATCAGAACGTGTTTCCAACCGCGGTCATGCTATGGTTGCCAAATCCGAAAATTCGCCCGCGAGCCAAGTTTTCTATAAAACTCGAAAAATGTGAAGGAATAATTCGAGAAAAACGGGAAATTTGAAGTGGAAACTGATTCGACGCACCTCGAAACTTCCCGTTATATGGTCAACAAGTATATGCAAAGCTTGATCTGCATTGATTCCTGCAAAATATTAGCTTCGTATATAAAAAATTTAGTAGATTAAAAAATTAATCTAAAAAACCACGTTTTCAAAAAGCATTTCAGCTTGCTAGCTAGTCAGGAAGTGAGCAAAATTTGAGTTGCAAAATTTGATCCAGACAAACAAACGGACAAGAAAGCGAGTTAATAAAAACGTGTTAATGAAGAGGTATATACCTGTACAGCTCTGTGGTGAAGGCAACAGATACCGGGTGCTCGTCGTCCTGCTCAATCCTCATCAGCTGCGGGTTAAACGACACCTCTGGCGACGACGACGACGAAGACGACGCCGCCGGGTCCCTGCATGAACGAAGATGCAAATACTGTACGTAGAAAACATGGAATTTTCAGCAGAATAATTTTGCGAAGAGAGAAAAATAAGGAGAAGGCAAACAATACTCTCGCGTCCTATTAGTTGCAACGGCAGCAGCAGCAGCAGCAGCAGCAGCACCGACGTCACTTTTGCGATGATCACTCCTCCTTCTCAAACTTTTCCGCCTGCTATTTCCGAGTTTGGCAAACGCTGACACCCGCGGCATGATTGCGGAATCCGGTATTGACCTGACTCGCAGTCGCTTGTTATTGACTCGCGCTGACAAGGATGTCGACGAGGTCGACGTCGACGGCGTCGACCCGCAGTTTTCCAGGGCCACATTGGCCAACACCGACACACTGGACTCGAGGATCCTCGCCAACTCCTTCATGTGTTCCACGGCCATTTCAGCGTGTTGCAGTCTGCGGGGGAGGAAAAAAGAAAGCATTCTCTTTTTGCATAGCATTGGTCAATTTTCAAAATTTTGAGTAAACTTGCAAAGACTTGCCAAGAAAATTTCTTTTGAGTTGATGACAAATTCATCAATTTGAAGCTACCGTATTTCACTGCAATAACGAGGAGAATCTCAATCAATGTCTCCAACCGCATGGTTTCAGCAACGTACGCACTGCAATTTATTTTTTGTTGCAAACCCCTATCATGATTTTAAGAACGTGCGATAAACCGTGTCTCAAATTTAGCTTGAGATCTTATTCTTCAAAAATGTGGCTTGCACAAAAGTTGAAAATACTGTAAGGTTCATACATGAAATTCCACGTTTAAATGAGTGGAAATCTTGCACGTACATATACGGGAACATCAGCTGATGTGTGTATGGTTCGAGACCTGATTTAAATTTTGAAAATTTCAAATTTGAAGCTTTTATTTTATTTTATTTTCTTCAAGTACAACAGTGCATCATAGGATGGCAGTTGCCTGAAATTGTTCACGAGATCATGAACATCAGGCATCTCTTTGGAATCTTGCGGACGAACTGAAGGCCTTTGTGAAATCAGCATTGGCAAATGCGAAGGTCGTGCTGAACGGTCCAGGACTTCCGTTTCGGGTTGCTCTTGTAAAAACTCTGGCTGGACCATGTCGGAACATACCTGCCATATTCATACATGATCCCTTAAACAATCTGTAGGCATAAACGAGGGGATCCTCTTACAAGAATTTACGGGGGGGGGGGGTATGAGGTGGTCAAGAGAGAACGGCCTCACGTGGAGCTGATTTCGCACAGCTTCATGCAGCTCATGATGCGGAATCAGCACTATTTTCTCGAAGACGTGGTGAAACGCGTGTCGGCAGGCAAGAAAGGGGGGGGGGGGGGGGGGGGGGTATAGTAGTCTAACAAAATTTCTCGGGGCTGGAAAATTGGAATGGCGCATGATTCGTGCTGAAAAACAGTTCTTCCGAAAAACATTCTTCGGCACACAAGAAAAAAAAAAACGCAACCCTGCTTAACATAAAAAAAACATTTTGTGTGTTCAAAAGTCACCTTAAATGCCTCCAATCAAGTTTTCTAATAAGGTAATTAAACCATATTGTCATCAACAGACCCCTTCATATTACCGCTTTCTCATTTGAAGTGGCGTCTGTGAAGGCGGCTGATGATGAAAATGGCGGAATAAATATTCAATCAATGGCGGAAAACCTTGGAATTCATGCCCCGTCAACTTCAAGAAAAAAAAACGTGATGAAAAGGGAAATGTAAAGGTGCACCGAAAAATCTGCGAGATGCATGGGTGGCTCAAATTTCGAGTGCTAATGCCTGCAGTAAGCTGCCATATATCAAAGCGACTTTTGCAAAGTATAAGCATGAAATCATGGCACATTCGCTTTTGCACAATAATGTTTCCTTGAACAAAGGCTTTTCTTCGCCTCAAGCAGCACATGTGCCATTTCAGTCCCTATTATATTCCAAAAAAATAGTCGTTGGACCCCTCTTATACATGTACTGTATAAATGTTGAAAAAAAAGAGGATCCTCGTGATTTGATTGCCTCGAACGCGTCGCCGTGCACGGAATGGTGGCCCTCGGCAATGATGAGGTGGCACACGTGGATCAGGATTGCGACACCTGCTTCCACCTGGGCCCTGACGACAGAGAGCACATACGACAGGGACTCGTCATTGATTTCATGCTGCTGTTGGCTCTCCTGCATCATTTAGATCAATGAATGCAATAAGTCATCGTCATGTTCATCAGGAGCTGGTCCAATTATTCCAAGCCATCATCTTCACGAGTGAGATCCCTCATCGACACTCGCTTGCTCTCCTATACTGATGAAGAGCAGCAAATTAACGAAAGAATAAACGGGGGTTCGTCCCATTTTTTTTTGTCTCGCATTCATCCAACACCTTCCACGAGTTCATCGCATGGTTCAGCAGTGGAAAAAAAAAGATTCTCATGAAATCATTGCAACTTTCGATCATCTAACCAGCTTCCATTTCACTGGTTTCATCGTCGTCATATCATATTTTATCATCCGGGGCTATCAGCTAATTTTACTCCCTCCTAAAGAGAGAGAGAGAGAGAGAGAGAGAGAGAGAGAGAGAGAGAGGTTTATTATTCAAATGAAGTCATACCAATTTAAAGGACACGGTTTTCTCTATATATGCACCGTTTTGAGATCCGCTGAATGGTTTCATGAAGATCAGACAAATCATGTTCGCCAAATATATGACGTCCACAAAATAAGCACGTGACATTCTGCACGTCTCCAAACTGCTGGATTGCAAAAATCTGAATGATGCCTGCAAATTCTAGAGTCATTTCGTAAGAAAGGTCATGTCAGCGCTGAAAAAATGTTCGAAAGCTAAAAAAAAAACGAATTAAGAATGCATTCCGTTCAGATTCCAAACTGTGTCTTTGACGTTTGAAAATGCATTTGAAATTCGGGAAAATCAGGCGTAGTATTTTTTTTTCATTAGATTCGGGGTTCAAGACACGAACTCTGAACAAAAAAATAAATAAAGAGTAGACAGGGCACAGGACTACTCTTGTAGAATTCCCAGGAAAGGAAATGCAGTGTGCATACGGAAAACTTTTCAAAAGAATGAAAAACAAAATTTTAATCGGACTTTCTTTCTTGCTTCATCACATGCGAAATGTAAAAGCGCCCAATCATCGAATGAAACAAATGAAAAAAATGGAGAAAAACTGCGCGTGTGATGGAAAAAAATTTCTCTGCCTCAGTCGTCATCGGTCCACTTCGATAGCAGCATAAATCCCGTAGATTTTGCGATTCCACTTTTTTTTTATTGAAAATCAGTTAATTTTTTTGGGGGGTTTCGTTTCATTTATTCCCACTGTCGATCATCATCGTCTTCGGAAACTGAAAAAAAATAATTAAAAAGAAAATGTACGACAGCAAAAAGTTTCACCTCAACAGTCATTACATTGCCAATTGCACGTCGGAGCCAGAGTACGTCAAGGGGGAATTCTGGGGCCACTTTTTCGCGGCAGGGTTCCTCGTCAGCCTGGCCCTCATTCAGTACGTGGCCATTCTGAGTCGGTACTTCAAGGCCAAATTTTGTCCAGAATACGAGTTCAACGGCATTGTGACCCGGATTGCTTTCCCGTGCAACCCGAGACTGAGTTACACGTCTTACATCCTACCGGCTTTAATCCTCTATGTCGTCTGTGAGTTGCATCATTCAATTTTACACACACACACACACACACACACACACACACACACACAATTTCCTGATTGAGGTGTCTCGAAAAAAAATGTGAATACTGTAATAATCTCGAATTTCATATTATTCTTTGGATTTTTCGATGTGAAAAAGATCGATGAGATAAACAGTTTTTTATGGTGCATAATATCAATGCAGACAATTCTCGTTCATTATAGACCCTTTTCATATGACCTGAGGTCGATCATCACGTAAATCCCAGAAGTTTAAAAGGGAGAGCTATCTAATATATTTACTTAAAACCATGCGGAAGTCGGGTTAAATTAATTGTTTCCCGACCCTGACGACCCAGGAGAAAAATAGAATTCTCATCTCATTAGTTTCATTTTTCGATTTGCTGAATGTTAAAAACATATCCTCGACGAATTAGCTGCATCACCATTATAATTTTCAAAAATGAATTATACTTTCGAGATGCCTGCAGGTATTTCAATTGGAAAATGACTCATATTATTTCAAGTTACTGTATAATGGTATTGTGAAATAACTTCAGATCATGAATTACATTTCACGGTGGTTAAATTTAACGCGCAGAAAAATGCGTCAATTATAGACAATTTATATCAACGCAAAGCGTTATTGTTGAGCTCTTTAAATAATTCCAGAGAAATTGAAGGGAAAACGTAAAACGTGGGGAAATTCTGCATACGAGTATCTCACACAAGTGAGCCAAAAGTTATTATTCCCGTCCAAGAGTTCGTCTCCACAAAACTATTTGAAAAAGTGTCGTACATCTTTCCAAAATATTCCAGTGGCGTTCTCGACACACATCAAGGAAGAAGGTGGGTTCCTGGAAACACTCTTGTTCTTCATCCACGGCAACCCGCACACGTACAATTGGCTAGCGTTCATCTTCTACATCGTCGTCGAGTTGCTGGAAAATTATGAAAGTCTGCACATGCCCAAGTACTCGTCGCAAGTTGCCTTCGCCTTCACCATCATGACGATGGCCGGCGTGGCTTACACACACCTCATCGTGCGATGCGCCTACGACACGCTGGTGAGTTATATTGCTTATTATGCTGCCACAAAAAAAAAATGAAATTCATCAGCGAGGGATTTTGCAAAAAGCGCCCTGCCGACATGATCTGATGACCTTTCTCCATCATCGGCGAAAATAGCGCAAAAGAAAGGACCTCGAGTTTCGAAAGATATCCATTTTCAAAAGAGAGAGCAAAGATCAGAAATTACGGCGGACTAAGGTTCACGTGTTCATCAATAAGTCACTCACGAGGCATGAATTATTTTATTTTTGCAGAAAAAATATGAGACCAATAAATATACACAATAAGGTGTTGAGAATCTCGGCTATTTTTTTTAAACTAATGTATATCGACCCCTTATTGAGTTTTTAAATCAATACAATGGGTCTGACAAATGTTATTGGAAAACAAATTGAAACAGGTTTGAGCTGAAAAAAAAAACAATCATTGTTGAAGAAAGAAATTCTTTCTGGCATAAGAAAAATGTTTTTTGCTGTTGCAGAAGTCACCCTGTCAGCTATACTACGATCTTTTGCACAAAAAAAATTGATACTCATTTCGCAGTTGTTTTGGTGTAGCCCAGTTTCTCCTGCAGAATCCTTGAAATTTACGAATCTTTAATTCCAAGGCTTTCCGCCATTTTCATCAACACCCAACACTGTATTTGGACGAAAATGTGTCTGCTGTTGATAGAAATGGCGGAATAACTTAGGGAGAATTGAAAACGACATGGCATTAATAGGAAGAGTTGTCTCCAAGAATTTTTAGGAAGAGCAGGGATATGCGAAAATAAAAATCTGCGAGACATTCGCGCCTCATCCTTTGACTGCTGTAGAGCAAAAAAATAAAAATAAATTACATAAAATATATCAAAAGAAGCTACTTTTTTATTTTCCCATGAAATAGTTTTACTCTCAACAAAAATTGTCTTTTCCACATCTGTCATACGTATTCAATTACTATCACGAAACATTTTATTAGGCTGGCGCTCGTATATTTCACTGAGTTGTTTTCGAATAAAGTATTTTTCCTTTTTATTTCAACACCTGCTGCTCGTCGCCCTTGATTGGATAATTGATCCATATAATAACCCTGTGAAGTAATTTGTTTTGTCTCATTGAATGTATGTATATATATTGTTTCCTTTCAGCTTCACTCATTCTTCTTCTACTCGGCCGTCGTGTCATCAAGCTCGCTAATTGCTCAAATGTCCGCGCCGAGAAGCTTCTTCCTCGCTGCCCTCGTGTGCTTCTCCACTGCCATGACCGGGATCTGGCTCGTGACCTTGGCCACCCTGGCCTACGTGTACCCCCAGGTCAACCGGGTGGACTGGATGTCGCAGACCACAGCGCAGAAAATGCAGGCCATCCCGACCATCTTCTTCTTCGACGCCACTTTCCTCTTCTTCGGCATGTGCGCCCTCTTCTTCATCTTCAGAGCAGTCCGGGGAAAACGAGCCAGGGCCAACAATTGGAGCTTCGAACTGGTGCCCAGGCCCGATAAGGCGGATTTCAGGGCCTCGGCCAATAACTGCTTTTACGAGCCACTGGACCGGTTCGACAGCGAGACTAAAATTCTTGAACAGCCTTAGAAACGGAACACCTCCAGGCATTGCAATAAAATAAAATATGGGGTCATTATACTCGCTTTTATTCCGCTCCTGTTTCTTCAATTTCGAATTATAATCACAGGCACCAACAAGAATTAAGGAAAAAAAAGGAATATAGTGCTCGCATATTATCAGCATACATGCTGTGCTGGGGCGAGTCATAATGAAAATATATATATATTGGTCATTTTTTTCTTGATTAAATAAATATAAAAATAAATGATCGGCGCCTAGGATCTACGCGGGGCACTGTTTGACGACGTCGACGAGGAGCGAAGAACCAAGCTGTTGACGGCCGTCAGCAAAATACTAGAGTTTCTCACGTTCATGTAGTCCCGCAAATAAGTCGGCAGGGCCACGATGCGAAGCTGGGCCCTGGGGCCGTGTCTCAGTTTCTCCACCTGGCGCAGGGCCTCGTCTCTCGTCTTGGAAAGCAGGTGCTGGAGAGTGGAATCCGCAGACGAGCTTTCCTCACGCAGCAAGCGAAACAGATTCGAAATATTGCGCAAATTCGACATGTAGTTGGACATGATGTCCTTGTAGCACTCGCTCAGGTAATCCGGCCCCAGTTTCGCACTCGTGTACCTGACCGAATGAAAAAAAAAAATTGCTACAACGAAAAAAGAAAATACTGCGAATAAGAAGGGGATTCACTTTTTCCTGAAGTACTCTGTCGGCTGGAGAAATTCGCTGGCCCGTGGCGTCTTTTTCGCTTTGCTATAATTTTGCATGAGCCCCGACATGACCCTTTTCAGCACAAAGTCGTGAAAGCGCGTCAGCACCAGCAGTTGCAGAAACAAGAGCATTTCGAAATCCGGTTTGTGCTTAAGCATCGCCTGTTTTTGCAGTTTGAATCCGAAACACAAAGTTTAATATATTTGTAATTCGAAGCAGCGTGTGCCAAAGGAGTATTTCAAATGTAATTTCCGAAATTGCACTTCAAAGTCGTTTCTAAGCCATTGATTTGTAAATCAGGTTTTGAAAACAACAAAAATATTTATTAGACAGCACAATAAGCACTTACTTGAACAGTGGGTTGAATGGCAGAATCCAAGGACTTTTCCGACGTCGTATTGCTCAAGACATCCGTTCGACTTCTTGGCGAATGCACTTGCTGCTGCCCTCCACTTGTGACATTAGATGTACCGAGTGCAGACGGGTGCTTGGTGTCGGTCTTGTGCAAATTCTGGTTCGTCATCAGCTGCAAATAATATCCAGAGCAATAAAGCGAAACAAAGAAATGAAAATGAGAACTATAAGCATGTCAATTGTTTTTTAGTTTTTTAAATAAATGCGCCCTTCACAATGATCCTGCTAATCATCGGTCAAACAGTGACCATTCAGAGTTGTGGCTAAAATGGGTGGAATTAACGCACAATTGACCGATGCTGCCTCAAGTCAAGTCAATTTTTAATTTTGTCCAAATAACTCATCGACGTTGAATGACGACTTGGCTTTCAGCGTGTCTCAAACTCCAAATCCTCACTAAATTTTATCGTGAGCAGGATCTTTGAATAAATTAATAAATGAATAAATAAACAACGAACAAATGAAATTCTACCTGGCAGCATATCAATTCATCGCATAAAAGCTGGATTTTTGTGCATGTGTGTGTGTGTGTGATTCAATGACGAACACAAGGTCATGCTGAACAAATTACGAATTAAGACGACAAGACGATCCCCCCCCCCCCTACTGTCGCATCAGAGTGGGTTTACACTTGGCCAATAAATACTGTAGCACAAAATAAAAAGCAATTGATGACATGTTTTCGCAAATTAAGCTCACCGATCCCATGGACGTGAAGAAGACCATGAAGAAAGCCTCTTGTTTGGCGACATTCCGCTGGATATTCTCAATGACGCCCCTCCGCGACGGCCTCGACACGCCCGACGACAACATCAAGGATTTGCCATCCGGGAACTGCTGCAGCAAATCAAGAATCATCTCCCGATTTCGCACTTGAGCAATGACGTCTTTGAACAAATGCCGCTGGAAATCAACGCAGTCGGAAACCCTTTCCTGCAGCCAGGCCTCGAACCTGAAATCTCACACCACCATTTATTGGAACGGACCTCTTGTCTTTGCTAAAGACAACATATCAATAATACCAGGAGTAAACCCGGAATATTCAACATTTGAGCGCGTCTCAAAAGAGCGGTTGTCCCAAAAAAGAAGAGTGATAAATATGCACCACGTGTAAAAGCACGCATGACATTCATTACGCTAATGAGAAGCGCCCAAGGGTAAAAAACGATGATGAAATTTGGCGGGTTTTGACACCTGGAAAGCTTTTGGGCCTGATTCATATTCATCAATCGAAAGGGCTTTCGAAATTTTGTACGCAAATTAAGTAGCATGGAAACGTCACGTTGGTTCAGACAAAATAAATAGTTTTTTTCACACAACTCATTCAAGACATTAATTTGTGAAAAATAAACCGTGAAGCACTTGAGAAAGGTATTTTAGTACACAAAAATCATTTATGGCCAAGAAAAAGCACGTGTGCTCATTTCTCATCCTAGAGCAGCTGGTGTTTAAAACTCCCTTCGTTTTAGTGGCCGAAACTTAAATTTTACGACAGAAAATTTAATGTGATTTTAAAAATGTTTTAGCGGCAATTGCTCAATAATGTTTATTTCGCTAATAAAATGGTACATGAAGACTATAAACAAGTGATGAGGAAATGCCCTCTCTGAACGGAGTTGTTCCAGAGGCGTTAAATCAGAACCAAGGAAGTATTTCTTGACAAAAAAAATATCGGCTCAGAAAAATTGTAAAAATAGTAGAAAGCAAGCTGTGTCCAATTTTTTCTAAAGTTCTCCTCAGATTTTAAAATGTTCAAGGTGGTATTTTGTCTTCATAATTTTGTTGTTTAAAACTACCAACAACAAAAGTCCTTATACATCTGCCTGCAATAAAATCCCAGGTGTTCTGATCTTTCCTCACATGCTTCTCATCTAATCTCCCCCCATTTCCTTTTTGAAATGTTTTTTTCGACAACCATCTCTGCTGTAATGAGACACACTCAATTGTCATTAAATCCGGGCAGGAATGCATAAAATCTGCGGATTACTTGTACAATTCCGCCGTGAAAGCCACGGAAATTGGATGAGACTCGTCATCAATCATCCGCGATGCCGATCGATAATTCACTTCAATGAGTGACGAGCTGGGATGGAACGACGCCGATCGACTGCTCACTGACCTGACAAAATCAAATAGTAATTCCTTTACGGATGCATCGAAAATTCCAGGCCATGGGGCTATTTTTTTTTATCTCAGTCACTCCGTTAAATTTATGAAAACAGACAGTCCAGTTGACAGATAAACTCGGAATGTTGTCAACTTTTTTTTTTACAATCATTGAACAACCTTCAAAGATGACAATGCTTATTAATTTGTAAAGAAAATTTAGCATTGCGCAAAGCCTGAGGCTCTAAAATGTTGCTTCTAAACTGCTTTTAGGAAATGTAAAAATAAGTTATATTATAAAATAATTATAGTAGATTAAGAAATTAATCTAGAAAACCACGCTTTCAAAAAGCAAAAAATAACCTTAAACAAAGTGCGCATCTATTTCATTTGTATTTCACTTCTTCCCAACAATCTCCATGCAAGTCGGGAAGTGAGCAAAATTTGAGTTGCAAAATTTGATCCGGACAAACAAAAGGACAGCAAGAAAGCGAGTTAATAAAAACGTGTTAATTAATAAAATGGGTATTTTTCCATTGATTTTTCTTCATTTCATGCAAAGAATTTGTAAATTATAAGCGATTCCTCACATATGTGTGTGTGTGATGGAACTTCTTCATGGCATTCTTTCACCTCAATTATTTATAGGCGTCGTGTCCCTATATAGACTTACAACCTCGGCATGTCGGCGCTGCTGTCAACGTGGCCGTCGTCGGAAGACGACTTGACAGGCTTGGCACTGCTTCTGCTGGGCGTCGTCAACGCGAGTTTGGCCTCGGCCTTGCTGATGGGGTACTTGGTGTTGGCCTTGAGAATGCTCGGCTTTAAATTACGACTCCCTCGACGACTGCTGCGCTTCGACGTCACCTGGGACGACGCCTGGGACGTCGACGTCAACTGCTGAGACGCCGACGGCGGCGGTGGTGGATTCGACGTGCTCGAAAACGACACCGTGTGCTTCTTAGTCGCTGCTTCTGAGAAAGTGGCAGCTGCAGCAACAGCAGTATTGATGCTGCTGGACGGTGCTGCAGGTGCTGAGGGAGACTTGCGGCTGTCCTTGATTTGCTGCTGCTGCTGCACTGCGTCTGTCAAACCGACGATGCTGCTTTCCAACAACTGGATCAAGTCCCCGACTTGCCTGGCAGCCACCTTTGCATGCAGCTGTCTGAGGGGGGAAAAAAAAAGAAAAAGAAAAAAGAACGGCGATGAGGGGACTTGAGCAGAATAATACTCATTTCTCCCTTTTCAGTCTGCCTTCTATCGCACCAATATTAAGATTCTATCGTGTGCAATACTCGATACTGCATTGAAGAAATAGATTTGCGAGCGAGTCACAGCTTCATCTTTTTTAACAAAATTCGCCACATTATAGTAACGTATCTAAACATGCATTTATGCCGAATGTTCAAAATATGGGAAGAATGCAACTTATGATGGGCCTTTTGGAATCCAGAAATCCATGTCTGACGAATTAAAAATACCAGCAAAAAAAACAGGAAAGATGCTGGAATAATGTTCACATTTTAATCCAAGTCAGAGTACCTCTTTTTGTCATTTCAAATTCTCAACTATCAAGAAAACAAAGCATTAAAAACCTCCCCTGATAACCCAAAGGCTTTATCTTGTAAAAATTCAATAATTATTTTATCAACACAGAAATGATGAGAAAAGCATTTAAAATAATCAACTTGATGCGCATTTTGAAAGGAAGTGAAAGTTTTATTCGGCATATGATTCAATAATGCCTTCAATAAGTTCAAACTATCAATTCATTCATAAAGCGGCGATTTATTACCCATAATTTCATCAATTACGATTTCTTACAATTATTTTACTCGAATGAGCTACTGGTTCCTTTCAAGGGTTCGACTGAACTATTATACTTCTTTAGCAAAAAAAAGAGGTATACTTCTTTTGCAAAAAAAAAGAGGTATACTTCTTTTGCAAAAAGAGGAAGAAAAATTAAGGCAGTATATAACCTCGATATAAATAAAATAAAAAATTCCTCGAACAACCTTGCTATTATTCATTATCTTCTTCTTCTTCTTCTTCTTCTTCATCGAACATATACATCATTAAAAACTATATACCTAACCTGTACTTGACGAGCAACTGGGACACCGAGGTCTGGAACTTGCGGTGTTGGGCCAGGTCGTGCGACGCCGGCTTGTCCATGTACTGCGGCAGCATGGCATCCGAGATGGCCTCAAACGCCGTCCCGAACCCCGTGTGAAAGGCCTCGGCAATGAGCACGTGGCCCGCGTGCACGTGGATACTCGCTGCCCTCTCCACCTCCGCCCTTATGATCCGCTCTGTGAAGGCGTCCGCGGATCCGGCGGCACCATCTTCCCGCCGACGCATGGCTCGCACCAGCAGATGAACCCATTGACAGTTTTCTTCCTCATATGTCCCTCAATTACTATCATCATTCACCCACGTCTCATGGATTGCTGTAAATTAATTAATAAATCAATAAATCAATAAGAGGACTAAAAGTTACCATCAGCACTTTTAATATTTTAAGGTCCTTGGTACATAGGGAATAAGGAAAAAGAGAAAAAGAGAGATACGAGTAAATTATATGATGATGTTGATGGATGGTCGCCGTCGTCATCGCCGCCTCAGGTCGGACGGCGTCCTTGCTGCAGCAGCAGCAGCAGCTGCTGCTGCTGCTGCTGATGATGAGGAGGAGGAGTTATCCGACGGCAAGAGACTCTCGCTCAGTGACAGCAGCCTGCTGTCGTCGTCGTCATCGTCGTTGGCGGCGTAGTTGCCGACCCTTGACGGCCGTCGGGAATAAGAGTCCCTCGTCAGCAGTTTTTGCAAGCCCGGCACGATGGCGAGACGCCGCAGAGGCGGTTCCGCCATCTTCTCTGTGGTCTGCAGCACGTCCTTGCGGGTCGCCGTGAAGATGCTGGCCAGACTGCGGTGCTGGTGGCGGCGCTCATTGCTCTGCTGTTGTTGTTGTTGTTGTTGCTGTTGTTGTTGTTGGCGTTCTTCGAGGATTATTCTTCGCTCGACGTAAAACTGGGTTGCGAGGGTTTTCAGGCTCTCTTCATGCCGCGAAATGGCGTTCAAGTAGCAGCCAGTCAAGTAAGGTGGACCCACGACCATCGTCGACAACCTGTTGAATGATACGTCATCATTTATTCCGAGTGTGTTTTCTTCTTGTTGAGAGTACAGAAAACTACAGCGTGACCTCGACATATGCTGGATGCCCTGACATACGGACAATTTGACGGAGCTGAAAATACATACACCGTCGAGAAATGGTGATATGATCCAGCATTTCTCGAAAAAGTGTTTTCGAAAAGTGTTTCGTTTAAAAAAAATCGAACTACCGTTTTCACATTCACAAAAAATAAAATTATTTCATTATGAACTTATACTCCACTCTTCTTTATAAAAAAATAGGCTAATTTTTGCATTTATTTTTTCAGAGCCGTGTTCGTAATCTGTGCACAGAATCACTGAACTTTTTATCAATATATTATTGCTTCTTGAGCCCCTTCTAATTACAAAGCCAAAAAATCAGATTCTGTACAAATATAATTCTGCTGCACAGTTGTTAATCTGTATATTTTCAAGCTGAAAAAGGCAATTTATTTCAATTTTTTTAGGTCTTTTATTCCTAAATTTTGATGAGCACGTGAACTGTTATCCCCCTAATTTCCCCTGACTGAGAAATTAAAGAGGACTGTGAGTTGAGTATATACACTTTTATTTATATACTGGCAGACAACATTCACAAAAGGACAAACACAAACACAGATAAAAACC